GTGGCAAACCTTTGTCAAGCCGTTGAAAAAGCCAGAAGGTAAGAAAAATCTTGATTTCCACAATGCTCAGGCGGCGGCTAGAAAAGATGTGGAGAGAGCTTTTGTGATTTTGCAAGCCCAATTTGCTATTGTGAGAGGACCGGCTAGATTTTGGGATCAGAAAATGCTTTGGTACATCATGCACGCTTCTGTGATCATGCATAACATGATCATCGAGAATGAGCGTGGCCAAGATGTAGACTACTCTCAGTATGAGCTCTTGGGATATCCTGTGCGAGTGCGACGGATGGCTGAAAGGGTGGCCTGTTTTGTTGCCTCCTATCATGCCATTCGACGTCCCGCGGCGCATAATGATCTTCAGAAGGATCTCATTGAGGAGTGGTGGACATAGAATGGACGACAAAGAGCATCATGATTTGTGCGTTCGATATTGTATTGTTGAACTATTTGTTGTGTTTATTGCACTATTTGTTGTATTGAATGATAAACTGTTTGTTTGAGTTGTAATAACGAAATTAAACTATTTATTTTGATTTATTTTTGTTTGTGTTTGATCTTTTTGCTTCTGTTTTGGAATGCATATGTTGTTTGTACGAGAGTCGTGCGCGCTGCATTTTTACGCACTGCTGAAGTTGCGCGTGTGCTGCTTTTTAGCGCGGCTGCTGGAACTAGCGCTGCGCACCACGTCAAACCAAGCGATGAACGCGCGGCAAAGCAGTTTTTAGCGTGCGGCGCGTTCGGCGCCTGTTGGAGATGCTCTGAATTGATGCCAACACCACCACCAAGGGGGTTGCGATGAGCCACAATGCTGCAACCACCATTGCATCCACTAGCGGTGCCAACCTGATCACTACCCATGGCACCACCAAAGCCCGAAGCCACCAGTCAGAGCAGCTCCGCCGCCGCCACCCGTACCATGCAAAGCCGCCAGTTGGACCACTCATCAGCACCACAGGAGCCAGATCTAGCTACACCAGGTTAGATCCGACACCCCGCAGCAAGGAAAGTCTTATCCAACAGATGATGAAATTGGATTTTAGAAATCATGTGCAACTTGATCAACTTGAAAATTTCTATTTTTGTTGTCAGGTAAACTACAAATACCAAATTTATAAGAACAAAGAACCAACTGAACATGCAAAAACTCTGTACATTTGCTAGCCTGAATGTGCCAAAACTCTACACTAATCACTTTGTACTGAACTGAACACTAGCTAGCCTGAATGTGTATCTAGCCAGAATGTGTATCGGCTTAGTACTAAACTGAAAATGCATAGAAGGCAGCTGAGGTGGATGTCCAGAAGGGAATCAGAGGCCATCTACTCACTGAACTGAATGCATGTGCTACAAATCAGTGGAAGTCTAGCTCGCGCTCGGATTAACCACACGCAGAGGAGCAGTGAACTGCACGAGGCGCGGCGACGCGAGCTGCACAGGGAAAAAGGCAATGGAGGTCAGCGGGGCGTGGTGCTCATGAATAGTCACCGTCGTTGGCCGTACTGCACGCCGTTGTTGGCCGTGCTGCACGCCCGCATGTGCCACCCATCTTTGCCGATGGGGATGGAGCAACTACGCGTGTGGTGGGGGCCCTCCCCCTCTGCTCGCCGCTGCGGGTGGGGTGATGGAGGTTGGGACGGGTATGTAGCTCGCCGGCTCGCGGATCCCGCTCGTCAAGGTCGCGGGTATAGTGCACTTCCTCCTAAAAGTGCACTGCTCGCCCTCGCGGGCCGAACTGCACGCCATACATCCAGCGGGGCTCCGGCGGCCAGCGGTGATGCTGGAGGCAGTGGATCTGGAGGGCTGGCGGCGCGCAACCAATTTTGCAAAGGACGGAGGGACCTTGTGCCGTTGTGCGTGTTGGAGTAGAGGAGGAGGGGCCGGCCTGGTGCCAGCGCGGGAGGAGGAAGCAGAGATTAGGCCACGCCAGGGGCCGATGGCGGCCGGATTCGGCGGTTGAAGCCGCGCCGGGGGCGGTGGCTGGGGGTGGCCGCGCCCCTGGATGTCGCCGGCGTTGTAGGAGGAAGGGTAGCCAGCGTCGCGAGCCGGGGCTACCAACTTCGCGGCCGGCGGACGTCGGGTTTGGATGGAGGTGTGGCGGCGTGGCGCTGTGGGTTGGGGGAGGGAGGCGCGCCGGCCGGGAGTGAGAGGTGGCGCTGTGGGTTGGGGGAGGGAGGCGCGCCGGCCGGGAGTGAGAGGAGGCGGTGGGGTGGGGCACCGCGGTGGTCGGGGCCATCCCCGTGGTCGTCGGCTGCCAGGCAGGTGGTGGACGGCGGCGGTGCTGGTGGCAGGTGGTGGTGGGGTGGGGTACCGTGGCGGCATTGTCCGTCGCTAGACTAGAGGGCTTCGTCCGCGAAAATATGAAGGAGAACCTGGGTACTGGCGCATCCTATATGCAAAAAAAAATATTAGTAATTCAAAAAAGTTCAAAAAATTCCAAATCTTTTTTGGTATTAAACATGATCAAGTATTGTACTTGTATAAAAATGATTCGTCAGAGAATGACTTTCGTTGCATCCTAGGTCGAAGATTCGGCAAAAAACGCTATATACAAATACTATACACGCTATATTGTCGTCATAAATTTGTCTTCTTTGCTGTGAAGTCAATATGAATCTTTTCTTGTCCAAACCTTTTATACGAGTACAATACCTGATCATGTTTGATTCCAAAAAAGATTTGAAATTTTTTAAACTTTTTTAAATTACTAAATTTTTTTCCGCATATAGGGTGCGCTGGTACCCGAGAGCACCAAGTCCGCGTCCACTTCGTCCGTCGCTACACTAGGCCGAGCCGCCGTGTGTGTGTTCCACTGTGAGTCACCAGATGGGCCGAACTGGTCCTGGTCCTAAATTTAGTTAAAAAAAAGTAGATACGATAACGATGTGACAGTTCGAACTCACGATGGTGCTCTCCGTCCCGAGGGCAGCAGCCAACCATGCTACAAAAGAATCATGTGACATACGTGGTAAGCAATTCAAATTATTCAAAAAAAAAACCATGCTACAAAAGAAGAAGATTGATTGACTCATTAAATAACACCACCTTGGTCCCTTAAATTAAAATTGTCTTATTTATATATGTCTTTGAGGTTCCAAGGTTTCATGGAGGTAACTCGGGAACAAATAAACCAAGTGAACAGTGGGTTCGGTTTACCCTAAGTTAAGAGGAAATAAAAAGGATTTGATGAAAGGAGAGACCTATATATGGTTGGATAATTGCAAGATAACAAGGAAAGAGGCTCTGGCCCATATGGAAAGAGATGGCCGGCTATAGTAGGTATAATAAAATACCCTTGATCAATGAATGGAAAAATAGTGAAGACTAAAAATGCTTACAAACAGCGGCCCTAAAAGCGCTGCATTCGTAAAAATATGTTTTGTTTTTCACTTGAACATTTTCTATAAATGATGCTAATTTGCAGCGTCAAAGGAGGAGAGAGCCACGCCGCATGGCCCGCAAGTCCAACAACGCGTACATTTGTTAAGACTTTTTGCAAAGATGGTCTTCAGAGAAAAAATCTTCTTCATGATACGGATATTTGATGTGGGTCATAAGTCAAATCATCATTATGTTTTAGGCCATGCTCACTTTTGTTTTAGGCCGCACTTATTGTTTCTTATAGAACTCATAGTGATTGGATTAGGAGTGCTAGAGTGCGATGAGATTTTCTTCCATTGCAACGCACTGACCATTTTCCCAGTGAAACAAAAGTATAGCACGGATCTTACAACACTTGGACGTCCCTGATGGCTAGGTCGACGACATCCGACTAGGTTTGTTATGCATTTTTTTTATTCGTTTGGCGGAAGGTTTTACACGTTTGCACGAGCAACGGGACAACTTTATTACACGTTTGCCAGGATACCAACTCTCTCCCTCTCAACCCTTAGAAAACTCTCTCCCTCTCAACCAGCGCAAAAAAAAAACTCTCTCTCTATCAAGTGCAATCCACAGCCCAGAAAAGATCATGGGATACCTGACCTTACCTTGCAGCCCAATTCAGTTCTTTATTCCTCGAATCGTCTTTTTCTTTTGCACAAGGCGTCTACTTTGTTCCTTTTGTATACCACATGCCTTGTAATAATTTCATCACTCCATCCACGGATCAGATCGTGGAAACCGTTAGCCTTGTACGGTAGACACTTCAATTTCCCGCGCCTGT